CTGGTAGCTGGCAGCAACTGTGAGGCATGTGGGCTTCAAGCTGCCCAGCTGACATGAGGGGACCAGAGGTGCTGTCCCCAAGCTCTGCCCAAATTGCAAAATATGGGTTGTTATTATTTGAAGCACAAAGGTTTAGGGTAGTGTGCTAAGCAGTGCTAGATAAGTGGAACACAAATCAGTGCCATGTTTCTGGAATCTGTACATGGGTGTGAAAGTAAGAGCAGGAAACTTGTAAATACCTTGATGCAGAGGGCTGTTTGGACACCTGAGCAATCGAGATCCTAAGTCCTTCTCTACCCAGGAAGAAAGGGCTTCATTCAGATACTCTGATCCAATAGAGATTTCAGACTTGAGCACATCCTGTCATCTAACCTTCCACTATGCCATCTTGTCTAGTGGCCCTGTTTTCACTACCTCAGTGCACCTGCATCCCAGCCCTGATACCTGGAGACATTTCTGCAGATGATCACTTCTTCTTTGATAACTTCTTTCTCTTCTCTGGACCGCTGTGATCATAAATATATATACACACACACACACATATATATATACTAGTGGCCTGGTGCACAAAATTTGTGTACATTAAAAGGGAATTAATTAGAGGAAATATTTTAATATTGCTATTTGCCCTTTCTCTATAATAGAAGTGTCAGAGATGAAAGAAAATTAGTAAAATGTATATGAAAATCTTCCTCCTGTCAGAGTCTGGGGTGTGCCGCATGACCCAGAGTCAAGTCCCCACTCACCCGCATGCACCTTGAAATCATGCAAGACCCAGACCCGGCCAGCCCCACCCCCATCAAGCCCTGCAGGGAAGGGGGCGCAGCCTCAGGTCCCCCATCAAGCCCCACCAGGCAGGGGGCGCAGCCTCAGGTCCCCTGGCCCTAGCACGAGGGCAGGAGGGCACAAGGGTGCGAGGGCCCGATGACCATTTGCATATTAGCTCTTTATTATATAGGATATGATGGTGGGCAAAAGTAGATTTACAGTTGCAAGTATGTGAAACAGTTTATTCTTGTATTATCATTTAGTAAGTATTGTAATTTTCAAAAAAATACTGCTTGGTTTTAAAGAGAGAGGCGGGGGGAGGAAGGGAGAGATAGAAAGAGAGAGAGAGAAATATCAATTTGTTTTCCACCTATCCATGCATTTGTTGGTTGCTTCTTGTATGTGCCCTGACCAGAGACTGAACCCTCAATCTTAGTGTATGGGGATGACCCTATAACCAATGAAAAGCCTAGCTAGGGCTAATTATTGTATTATTTATTCGTATTATGTAACCTACTTTTGTCCATCCCTGTATAGACATCATTGAACATAATCCCATTTTTTTTCTCTTTTAAGAAACCCAGGGAAGCTGTTAAAAAGGTATTGTGGAAAAAATAAGTGGAAATAATAATCCATTAGCTATACAGAATCCATCAGAAAGGTCAAAACCACATACGCTATTACAAGTCATCACTTAGATAAAGTGTTCGGCTCTTCTGTCTTAATTTTTTAAAGCATGAACTTTAATGAGAATGGAAAGGGCATGACAAGAGTCATTTTGCCTAACAAAGATTATAGGAAGAGAGAGCGATTAGATGGTGTGTCTCATTCTGGTGAATATTTAGCTGGTGGCCTGAGACCTTTCAGAGCCCCAGGCCTCCAATATTCTTCTCTCCTCTCAAAGACAATGAAAAGCTCATCATATTTCATAATGACTAGAAGCTATACAATTACAGCAGATCCTAGTACCCAATGTGAAAGCAGAGAAAGGTGAGCAAGATATTACTATCTTCCTGCAAAATGATAGGGTTATTTTCTTGCTGATAATATATAAAATGCGGACTTTGTTTGTTCTTCTTATATACTTGGAAGGTTCACTGGAAGGAGAAAGCTAATATTAAAAACTTCTTTTGTTCATCATCTTCTGTCTGTACTGGAAAGGCTCCTGTATTTCATGTAGAGAGAGAGCTTCAGAGATCCAATTGGGATACAGTGGGTGCCTTTATGGGCTCTGAGGGTGGTGACTAGGTACAATGTAGATGAAACAAATTGGCCAAACAGACTCAGCCACTGATTCAAGCTAGTGAGACCACACCTGCATAACTCACAGATAGTGCCCACTTTTTGGAAAACAAAAGATGCTTACCCTGATGGAGAAATTGAAATTAGGTACCCATTAGGAGAGTCAGCTTTGGTGCGTTGGAAAGTCTGGGTGTCTAAAGGCATGTGTTCTGGTCCTGAGATATTAGCCAACAAAACAATGATAAAAATAAAAACAACTATATGCCCTAGCCTAGCTGATTTGGCTGAGGGGATAGAGCATCAGCCTGTAGACCAAAGGGTCCCGATTCCGGTCAAGGGCACGTACCTCGGTTGCAGGCAGGCCCTGGTCGGGGTGTGTGAAGTAGGCCACCAATCGATGTGTTCCTCTCACTTCGATATTTCTCTCTGTCTTTCCCTCTCTCTTCCACTCTCTCTAAAATCAATGGAAAAACATCCTCGGGTGAGGATTAAAAACAAACAAACAACTATGGAATATCACTACCATCTGTTGAGCACTTATGTATCAGGCATGGAACTAAGCACGTTAGGTATATTATTACATTTAATTCTTACTAATACTATGAGAAAAACCACTAGTGACCATCCGATGTAGAGGGAGATTGAATAATTTAATAAAGGTCACCCCTGTTTTAGGGGATTCCAAAGCCAGTTACCAAACACTATTCTAGTTTAATTAGTTGAGTGGCCCTGGAGCAAGTGACTTCCCCTCTCTGAACCTAAGGACTGTATTTGTAAAATTAGGAAGTTCAGTGTTCTGTGTCCTCCAGCTCTGTGGTAGTTTCCTACTGATACCCTATAAAAGAACCATAAGTTTAATGGCTTGAACAACACAAATGCATTATAGCTGTGTGGTTTGGCACAGATCTCACTGGGCTTTACTTAAGGTGAAGGCAAGGCTGTTCTTCTGGAGCTTTGAGGGGAGAGTCCCTGGCCTTTTCTAGCTCCTGGAAGCCACCTGCACTCTTTGGCTATGACCCCTGCCTCCGTCACTCCAACCTCCTGTTTCCATCTTCCCATCTCCTTCCTCCTTTGACTCCTGCTGCCTCTCACTTTTAAGGCCCATTATAATTACACTGGATCTACCTAGATTGTCCAGGACAATCCCCCCCAGCCTCCCCCACCCCATGATCCTTAATGTCATCCCTGAAAAAAAAGCCTTTGGCCCCAAATGGCAATATCCACAGGTTCTGAAGATTAGGACATGGACAGATTTGGGGAGCCATTATTTCGCCTACCACAGCTCTGATTTTTTTAAAAAAATTTAATACTAGAAATGTCATAAAATCCTGTGCCTGACAGTTGTGAGATGGTGTGGAGTTCTCTGACTGCCTCTGTATTCTGCCAATAACGTTGGACAAACCCTCCCCGTGGGGGTCACTTTCAGCACAGGATTGCAATCTTGTCTGCCTCTTGTTCCTCTGATTGGACCCTTTTCTGACTCCCTTCCTGTGTTGAGTGGTCACTTGTGTGGGGCCAGTTTCACCAGCTTGCCTGCTTCCTAAGCGCTGGCATCTTTTCCTACCATTCAAGTACTGCCTCCCTCCAGTTAACATGCTTTTGTTTTTCTTTCATGCAGATCATTCACATAAATGCCACCGTGGCCCAAACTGCAGAGGCTAATGATTTCCTTAGCCAGATGCAGAGCTCTGCCACCATGAGTCTTCAGTTTACAACCAGAATTCACAAAAGTGCTTCATCCTCCTCTCCCGAAGTAGCAAAATGAACTTCTGTTCCCAGTGATTTTATTTCAGCTTGTAAACTCCCTGTAAACATCCTTGTAAAAGGCAGGAACTAGAGCATCGTTTGTTATGAGGAATATCTATCCAGTGTGAACCTAAAGGCAGAGCAGAGATCAGTCTCACACCTGAGACCACCCACATCTATCCTGTTTCCAGTGAATCCAGGGGAGAGAAACTGCACCCAGTTGCCAAACTTTTGGTGATTCCTTTGTAACTGTCCCTGGAACTAACCAAAACTCACAAGTTTCACTCTCTGTATGTGGCTTGCCAATTGCTCCATGGGATTAACATTAAGGGGCTTTTCGCTCATATCCCACTTTCAAAGATATGTATCCTTTTCTTTCTCTTTCTGTATCTTTCACTCTCTTCTATCTTTCTAACATACTCTAAATAAACCTATTGGTTTCCTCTTAAGATGAACATTTTAAAAATGTGAGGTTCAAATGGGAGATTGAGAAATAAGTTAATATTTATAAAACATATGCCAGGCACATTGCTAAGCATTTTACACTGTTAATCATATAAAGTAATTTAGAAATAGTCAGCCAAAAATATTTATCAATGCAATCAGTATCCAAGTACCTTTTAAGTAAACTTTTTTGCTTGTTTGCTTTTAGGTATTTTTTTTTTTAAATCCGGCATGCTCCTTTTTAAGTTTATGTATTTGTTTACTATTTTACAAATGGCCCTTTTCTGACCACAGTTTAGGTGGTTGGAGGCTAAACAGCAATAAAGAAAACTTTTTGCTTGTTTGCTTTTAGGTATTTTTTTTTTAAATCCGGCATGCTCCTTTTTAAGTTTATGTATTTGTTTACTATTTTACAAATGGCCCTTTTCTGACCACAGTTTAGGTGGTTGGAGGCTAAACAGCAATAATTAATTATAATAAACTTGAAGTAGTTTAGAAAACCATTTATTTTTATTCTCCATAATAAAAAGATTAAAATAAACTATTAAGAAATGCTGAGAAACAGAACTGTTCATAAAAAGAAGCAGTTTGTTTTCCCACCTCCTGTCAGTAGCATCTGTCGGCCCCAGTGATGGCTTGCCTGTGAGTCTTAGAGACCATCTGGGGGGAACCTGTTAAACAACGGGGTTATGCACTAGCTATCTTGTCCATTAGCAGGTCTCTAGACCATCACCAGTGGCACAAGAGATGGAAGGAATCTTGCTTCACTCTAAAATCTGTCATTTTCTTGCCTTCTGCAGGGAGCGCTGGCACCCCAGTCATGTTTAACAAGAATGGAGATGCTCCGGGGCGGTATGACATCTTTCAGTACCAGACGACCAACACCACAAACCCGGGCTACCGTCTGATTGGACAGTGGACAGATGAACTTCAGCTCAACGTGAGTTCTGTTTTGTCTTCTTCCTTTGCTTGTGTGATACATGAACAGACTTTTAATTTGCTCAAATAGGCAAATGGTTTTGTTTGCTTGTGCATAATGAGTGAACAGGCAACATGTTAACAGGCATCAGCAGGGACTGGTAATAATACAACATTGAGAGTGATGATGTTGATGATGATAAAGATGATGATAAGTGTGTTGAGTTAATACTAGCACCACTGTGATTGATCTCATTTAATCTGAGGCTTGGATTGCTGAACAATCAAATTAGTAGATAATACTTCAATACTTTCACAAGATCCTTCTCTTGGTCAGACCTCCTTTCCTCCCTCCCTTCCTTCCTTCCTCCTTTCATTCTTCTCCTCATTTCTCCCTCCCTCTATCCTCCCTCCTTCCCTACCTTCCTTCTTTCCTTCCTATTTAGTGGTTTATTCCTTTTTCTTTTAATGCATTTTAGTGAGTTGCTTTGTTTTCTGTTGAGATTTTCTGTGTAACTGGAGCTTTATCCGTTTCCATACCTCTCCCTCTTTCGGTACAGTGTGACCTTGAGCAAGCAGCCACTTCCTTGTGTAAGGTTATGTCCAAGTGCACCTGGCAGCAGCCATCAGGAGCTCATTTGACACTGTTAGGTTTACTTAACTTGCTGAGTAAAGGAAAAACTTCTGAGGTCTTCAGGATGAAGGGGATGGAATGGGATTCACTGTAGGCTTTGTGCTGAGTTGAGTGATTAAAACAGGTTTAGGGAGGCTGGGGCCCATTTTGGTTTGGATTCTCTTAGGAAGTAGAAATCATTTCATGATTGTTATCTAGGAGATGGAAGGATGAAAGATAGGTGAGAGTTGTCATTAACAAAGAAACAGTAAGCACTTACGTGAACCGAAAAAGGGACGTTTTCGTTATTTTTGTGGTTGCAGGGTATCCTTGCTTCTGTCCAGTTTCAAACATGATGGCAGAACTGTCTTGTTCCACCACAGTCATGGAGTGGCCTTGTCTGATTAACTTTTACATTTTGCTGAGATTGTTTATGTTCTGTTTGAATTTGCCTGCCCAGCTGTTAGCTGATAACTGTAGAGCCATTTTTCTTAATATTTTAAGTTGAACATTTAACAGTGTGCTTCTAATAATAGTTACAAGGTCTATTTGGAATTATTAATAGTTTTAAATAAATATACCGACTTTCCCAGGGAATGAAGAACACAGGCTGGGTATCTCCCTCCTGGCACACCTGGAGTTCAGCGCACCATGCATCCCTCCATCTCCTCTCCTCCCAGGAGGGAATGAATTAGGCCGGCCCACAGCATGATGGCTGGGGTCCTGGAGCCTGGGGGTGGGGTGGGGTGGGGCAGAAGTTAGAGAAATAGGTACACTACAGGGTCTCTTCTGCTGAGATGCACTGGACTGGGTTATATTTCAACAGGTTCTTTAGCAGGTCCCTCCCTGTGGCATTGAACTTGGGGATGATGTTCACCAGGGGTGTTGTGGCTGGGTACATTGGATAGGCCTTCCCAGGGTCATAACTATACGTGGAAATCACAGTAAATAGAAACATACAATTTTCTTTTGTCCAGCAGAGCCCTGCATTATTCTGAGTTCTCTGGAGAAACAGGATAGATAGATAGATAGATAGATAGATAGATAGATAGATAGATAGATAGATAATTAGGAATTGGCTTTTATGACGGCTGAGAATTCCTGAGATGTGCAGTCAGCAAGCTGGAGACCCAAGTGAGCCAATGGTGTAAGTTCCAGTCTGAGTCCAAAGGCAGCAGAAGACTGATGTTCAAGCTCAAAAACAGGCAGGGAAAGACAGGATTCTCTTACTCAGCCTTTGTGTTCCATCGGACTGATGTTCAAGCTCAAAAACAGGCAAAGACAGGATTCTCTTACTCAGCCTTTGTGTTCCATCAGGTCTTCAATTTCAATTGAGTCCCTCCCACAACGGAAAAGCAATCTGCTTTATTTAGTTTGCCAGTTAAAATGTTCTTCTCATCCAGGAACACCCTCACAGAAATACCCACAATCACACTTAACCAAATACCTGGGCACCTCTGTGTCCTGTCAAGCTGAGGGATATAATGAACCAGCGCAGGCCCTATCCCGGTAATTCCTTCTCATGTCTCTTCCAAAGCTGAAAATGATGCTTTATCAGTGTACACCTTACTGTGTGCTATAGAAATTATTTCTAAGTGCAAGTGTTGAGAGTGGAATATGGAATTGATGTCTTAGGGACAATGGGTTTGGGTTGTAGTTTCTAAGAATGAAGGTTTGTGCATAAGGAGTAAGGGGTTGGTGAAGTCACCACAGCCAGTTACTTCATTTGCACCTCACCCTGCCTGGCTCTGCTTGTACCTGTCCAGTTGTCCCTCTCCTGAGGTCCATCATCCAGGGGAGCATTCACGAAGGTGGGGTCCAGAGGATTGTGATCTGGCATCCAAGAATGGATGGAGCTGGACAGCAAGTGCCAGCCATGGCTGGGATGAATGCTAAGAGCCAAAACCAAACTAGAATCTAAAAGCATCCTGAACTCAAGGCACATTTTCCAAGCAAAAGAGGAAATAAAAGCAAAACAAACAAATAAATAACCAACCAAAGCCTAATAGGTAAGCCCAAGGGGTAGTAATGCAAAGCACAATCAGAGCAGCATAACCTGCTGATAGACCCATAGTGTTTTCTTAGTGGGTGCTGTCTGAGTGATACCAGATGCGCCAGCCAGAACTAAAGGCAGAGCATCAAGATCTGTGGTGAGAAGTGAAGTGCTCAGGGCTATTGTAAGATGCAGGAGACTAAATAACACATGAATCTTCCCTAGCACAACCCCTGAGCCAGTGGTAAATCCCTGGCATGTGTAATTAGTCCATGTACACAAGAATCCCCAACCAACACTCACCAACTTCAGACATTACCTGGCATTTCTAAAGCAAACTATTTTTAAGAACCAACATCAACAGTGATTTTATTTATTTTGTATTTTATCCTGCATAAGAAGCATTCAATAAGTTCTTGTTTTGTGTTGTTGTTTTTTGTTAAAAGTATCTCTCACGTGATAAGCATTATGAGAAGCAGTGGGTACACAGTGGAGAACAAAACAAATGTTGTCCCTGATCTCATATATTCAATGATCTAGGATGGAGTTAGGTGGTAAACTAGTAAACAGATTTGGATGTGGAAATTCCAAAAGGTAATAGGAGACATGGTGGGAGAGAGTATAATGGATGTGGAGGGGGACCTACTGGGTGAGAAGCAGACAATGTGAGGAGTATGAGGCTTCCACCCAGCAGGTCAGAAGGCTGACATGGGGATAATGGCATGACTCAGGTGTTAGGTCCACGCCAACAGGAGCCAGACCAAGAGACATCTTGAGAGTTTAAGAAATTTTTATTACATTTTCTCACAGTGAGCTGAGACCAGTATATCGGTGTCAGCATCGAGTGGGTGTTTATGTTCTCTTATATAGGGACTGGGTCAGGGTTGCACCAGCCAGCTGGGGTAGCTGCCTGAACAACAGGATGACCTTGGAAGATAACAAGATATCTGATGGGCGCACAACTGGATGAGGCACAACTGGTTGGGAGTGTACCTTAAATTCTGCAAGTGCAGGCCATTTGCTTCAAGCTAGGAGAAAAACGTTTGTAACAATATATTTATGAAAGCATGTCCAAACAGCAGAGTCCAGGGTAGCAGTGAGCTGAGACCAGTATATCGGTGTCAGCATTGAGTGGGTATTTGTTCTCTTATATAGGGACTGGGTCAGGGTTGCACCAGCCAGCTGGGGTAGCTGCCTGAACAACAGGATGACCTTGGAAGATAACAAGATATCTGATGGGCGCACAACTGGATGAGGCACAACTGGTTGGGAGTGTACCTTAAATTCTGCAAGTGCAGGCCATTTGCTTCAAGCTAGGAGAAAAACGTTTGTAACAATATATTTATGAAAGCATGTCCAAACAGCAGAGTCCAGGGTAGTACATGCTAACATAGAGGAGAGCAAGAAGAATTAGAGCAATAGGAAAGAGCCAGAGCGTGTGGTCCCTATAGGCCATCTATAATAATAATCTATAATAATAAAAGCTTAATATGCTAATTGGACCAGAAAGCGGAACGACCTTCCAGACAAAGCCAGGGGCTGCAAGGTCTGAGCCCCTTGCACGAATTTTGTGCATCGGGTCTCTAGTGATAAATATTTAAAAAATTTTCTGAGTGCACTTAAAAGACATTAGAAGTATCAAGCAAGGGAGTTACTGGATGAAATTTAGGGAAAATTTTACCTTGTCTGCTGAGAAGGGATAAGTGTGGGAGTAGAAAGCCCAGGTGGGAGTAGAAAGCCCAAGTAAGAGTCTATTGCAGTGGTTGAGCTAAAATAGGATCACTAAGCGAAGGGGCTCTCAGACTTCAGCATGGACCCAATCACCTGGAGGGCTCATAAACACACAGCTGGCCTCACCCCAGAGTGTCTGATTCAGAAGGTCTGGGCGTGGGAAGAGGCTGAAATATTTGCCTTGCTATAGAGCTCTGTGTCATGCTGATGGCACTTTGGTTGCAAGTGGGAAGGGCAAAATTAAGAATCCCAATTTAGTGTTCTTAAATATGTGAGAGACAAGATGAAATGGATGTAAGTTTGTAACTCAGAAGAGTTTTGCGTTAGTTATTTTTTTTAAATATATATTTTATTGATTTTTTTACAGAGAAGAAGGGAGAGAGATAATTAGAAACATCGATGGGAGAGAAACATCAATCAGCTGCCTCCTGCACGTCTCCCACTGGGGATATGCCGCAACCCAGGAACATGCCCTTGACCGGAATCGAACCTGGGACCTCTCAGTCCGCAGGCCGACGCTCTATCCACTGAGCCAAACCGGCTTCGGTCGTTAGTTATTTTTTTAATGAGATTGTTAACCTATAAAGTCTTTAAATCCAATAGAGAGAGAACAACAAAGAACCCAAGGCCTTGAAAACCTCATAGAAAATGATACAACTTCATTCCAACTATTCTAAATGCCACC